TGCTAAAAATACTGCTATTTTCACTTAGTGTAAATAGAATCCATTGCTAATACGAGATTTGAAAAGAGAGGAAAAAAAAGTTCGGCAAAAGGCGGGATCGAACCCAGGTCGATCGCGTCAAAAAGCGAATGGTAAGCACTTATCCAACTGTGCCACTGGAATTGATGACTCACAGGTACTTTTAACTAAATCTAAATAGTTTCTGACTTGTTATAATGTTTTCTGAATTGTTGTTGTGCTTTCTGAATTGTTATTTTGTTTTTTAGACTTGCATCATTTGCGTTTGTAACTTATTTTGTTTTCAGAATTGTGATTTGTTTAGCACTTCTCGGTCACCGTAGAAAAGACTTTAGAAACGTCACATAATTCATCCAAAAAAAAAATCCTCCTCTGAAAATTTCTTTCTTACAGATTTTTCTTTTAATAGTTTCTGATTACCTGATCATAAGAATATTTCAAATAAACACCCTTTCGGGTCAATTGATGACAACAGGGCTTACAATGTTTCCTTGTAAACAGTCACAATTTGCTTGGTTTTATGATTAATTTTCATTTGTTTCTGTCCTCAATCCAGATTACCACTTTGTCACCAGAGAGAAGATGCAAGAGGGAATCGACAAGGGTGAATTCATTGAGAATGCAGAGTTTTCTGGGAACATGTATGGAACCAGGTACATTTTATTTGTAAATTGACATCTGGTTTCTGATCCCATTATCCTCTTAATTCAGCACAGAGGTACTTCACCGCTATTTCTTTGCCTTCATACCAATGCCCAAAAGTAATAATTCTGAAGTAGCTGAGATTGTCCATGAGATTGTTCATAAGTGTATAGCCTAGTCAAAAACAACAACAAAAATGTAAATGTTATTGCTCATTAAATTGAATGTCACTTGCAGCAAATCATCCATAGAAGACGTTCAGGCACAAAACCTCATCTGCATCTTGGATGTTGACATACAAGGAATGAAAAACATTAAAAAGACTGATCTGAACCCCATATATATCTCCATCCAGCCTCCTTCGATGGAGATCCTGGTACGTTGATAGAAATATTTTCAGTTTCATATATAGCATTTAAAGTGTGATTTAAATTGTGGTTTATTTTCCTACAGGAAAAGCGTCTGAGAGACAGACAGACAGAGACAGAGGACAGTCTACAGAAGCGTCTGGAGGCAGCGAGGATTGACATGGAGCTCAGTAAGTGACACTTTCAATAAGTTGGTTGTGCTTGAGAGAAAACCTTTATTCCCTTGCTATTTTCTCCTCTGTAGGTAAGGAACCTGGGGTTTTTGATATGGTAATCATTAATGATGACTTGGAAGAAGCCTATGCGAAACTCAAAAGTGTTCTTATTGAGGTAAAACTATTTTATCTCTGTAAAAAGATTGCATAATTTTTTATTAATTTCATAAATAAATAACACTGAGTTATTGTTTTTTTTCCAACAGGAAATTGAGAAGGTGCAAGATGCCAAGAAATAGGAAAGAATAAACGGCACTTTTGACCTTTCTGCCCGACAACACAAGACATGAAGCCTTTTTTCCAGCCTTGTACGGTGCAATCATGCAATCAAGACAGGTGCTATGTTCAAAGGAGTGTGCAATAGAGCTTTTCTCTGTGGGTGAGAGAAAATCTGTGCATGTATGTTAAAAACATCTCAATCTCGGTTGAAGACACTTCTCTATTAACTCTCTCGAGCATGTTTGCACCTTGAATTATGAAGGGAGAAAACTGTAATAAAAACGAGTTCAGTAAGCTATTATTGATGACAATAGTTTGTTTATCATCAGCATGTTAGTTGTATAGTAGAGAAATGATTGTTTTTAATATGTATGATCTTTGTAGAGCTAAGCTATACAACTTGTTTGATTCTCAGGTAGCCTTCAACAGGTTTGAATGTACAGTACTCACCTGAATGGTTAGTTTGGGTTGCACCTACATGTTTCTAAATTTGTGTTGAATATAAAATTATGTCATTTTGGGTTAGCTGAAATAAAATAAAATGAAACTACAGCTATATTAAAGCATTTCTCCATTATCTTTTTTCTAATTCTCTTTTCTCTTTTAATGTCAAGGTGAAAGTGAAGTGAAATAAAGTTAATATGCTCCTAATTGATTGTGTTATAAATAAATATAACATTATAATATGCAAAGAAATACAACATAGAAATAACACGAATCACATTTTCACGCCTCTGACATCAGATGTTCCCATCCGCACACCGTAAGCGTCAGTAACCATGGCAACTACAAACATCGGCGGAAGTGAAGGTGAGAAACATGCCTTGGTTTCTAAATAAGCTTGTAAACAAATATCATATAGATAAAAAAACTGTTAATGTTAAGGTAATATGTTTCAGTTTTGAGTGTGCGTTATAAAACAAATGGGAAACAACCATACAATCCGACGAAAGATGTTTTATTACTGTAAACAAAACATTGATACTGGCGAAGTAATTAACGTTAGCCTACGTTGGCGTCCTTCTACTTGTGGAAAAATTGACAATGTGAGATATATGAGTTTTTTGGTGAAATTCTTCGTTTATTGTCCGTTTTTATGTTCAAAACGTAACTGAGCTTATCTAAATGAACATTTAGAAATAATGTAGGTTACAGGTCTCATTACATTTGTCACAAGCACTATCTCATATATGACATATTTTTAGGGACAAAATGTTTTATGTGTTGTGATTTTATACATCTGAATCTATTGAATATATCTAAAATCTTTGTTCTGGATCTATTAATGACAGTCTCTGCTGGACAACACTATTAGTACATTAGTAACACACTTTATACTGATATTGTTCATTGTTTCCCACAGTCTGTGAAATGCTTGAGTCATGTCTAGCAGTAAGGAGCAGGCGTCCATCAGTCAGGTGATGTGTTTCCTCCATGAGTGGGATCAGGGCAATAAGACGGTGCGCAGTCGAATGCTAAGTGACTTTCTGGCCAAGAACACAGGAAAGACATGTCCAGAACTGGAGCTTGAGTTTGCTCAAGTTGCCAGCCTGTTCCTTGCTCGGCTCACTGCCTGGATAAGACTAACGTATCCACACATATGGTCATGCTTTATCTGTGCTCTAAAAAAATAGATACCTTCTAAATATCTGACTAAAACTTACAAAAGTTTAACTGAGAGATATCAGTCATGCCATGTATGCCTCCTTACATGTTTTGTTTCCAGCTATATGTTTGGAACGTGTCTAGACCTTCAGCTGAGAGCAGTGGGGGTTTTCCTCTCTGCCAACAGCAGGTAAAAGACTAAATGAATGCTGTGAATATAATGTTAGTACTAGATGTCAAGCACGCAAGGTCTTTGTGCAAATTAAACACCAGAAAATTCCCAAACAGAAACACTGTCTATCCTAGCATGGTTTCATTTTGTTCGTTTGCATGATCAGTCACCAGTACATGATTGAGTTTCTGGAGGTGGGTGGAGTGCTTACCCTGCTTGAGATTCTAGGACAAGACAAACTCAAAGATGGGGATAAAACCGAGGCTCTTTGTCTGCTCCAGATCATCGCCAACGCAGGCCAAAAATATAAAGAGCTTATCTGTGAAAGCTACGGTACTTACACAGCACAACCGCACAACAAACTACCAATCAAGAAGTGAAACAGCTCCAGCTCATTTTTCAGTGATGTATTATGGAATGAGAGTTTGCAACATTTCCATGAAATATTGTGAGGTTAAAACTTTGCATGATCCAATCTGGATCCATTTTGAAGGTTGGGGATTTTGACAGGCAAGCTCTGACAACTTTATATACACACATATACTGGCTCATGAACTGATTTCAGCTCTCGCATCTGTTCTTTTCTGATTGACAGGTGTGAAGGCCGTAGCTGAATGTTTGGCCAAATCTGAGACAGAGGGGACTCAGGAGACCGCCGCCGCCCTGCTAGAATCTTTAGCCCATGGAAACCCCAAATACAAGAATCAGGTGTACAAGGGCCTTATCGCCCTGCTGACCTGCACCTCACCAAGAGCACAGCAGCTTGTTTTACATATCCTACGTATAGTTCAGGTACAACAGTGTTGCAGGATGACAATCAGCACCAGAGGAATCTTTAAATGTTTAAAAAAAATCTGTACCATTGTATATACGTTCAAGTTTGCATTAAAGTAACATTAACTTTTTTTTGTATCAAACATCCAAGATTTTAAATGAATTTATATGGGAAAAGTATATATTCTATGTGCTATAACTGGTCACCATTTTACATTTGGGCTGTTTTGCAGCTCACTTTAATTGTCTTGCGATGTGACAAATTAATTTTTTAAAGTACAAATATTCCGAATAGTCTCTCTAATAATATGAGCTCATGAAAACTGCATTCATAATAAATAATTATTTGAGGACTAGAAAAATAAAATGGTTTTTAAATAGTTTTAAATAATATGTATGGGATGTCACACTGCTGAGACTGCATCAACTGCCTATTTTTTTATAAATTTGTATCATTTCTAAAATGTATATAATTTTTCTTTTGTTTTGTCCAGCCCATTGTAAAAACAGCCCATCATAGCATAGTGGAACCCTTATTGAATCTGCTGAGGTCCCTACATTTAGAAGTACAATATGAAGGCAAGTGTACATTTCAAATTTGACATTATTTATTGTTTTCCCTACTGTGAATCCCACCGTTTCATTTGTACTTTTATTTTTACTTCCAGCCATAGAACTGATAATAGAGCTCATGCAATCAGAGGTTAGACCGGCTCTGCTTAGGGGTCTGGTGGCTTTTCTCAAACCAACTAAAGAGAGAAACACCAAACACAAGATCCTGGAGGGTATGATCTGTTGTTGCTCATCTTCTTTCAATTAAAACAAAACTTGTGTAACTGCCAAGGTATTTGTTGTTTGCAACTGAAACAGTGGTTCTCCAATAACAATAATGCTTTGCATTATGATCACGTTGCAGCGTGGAGACATCCTTAATTCAACCTCCCAATTGTTACCTTTTGGGCTTTGTAATTTAATTTGGAGCAGATGTAGATGAGATGAGAAACAAACATGGATTGTGGCTTGAATTAGCATCTTTCTCAGTTATTGATTTGTCTGACATAAAAGTTATAAACCGTCCTGTGTTGTATTTGAAATTCAGCCGAAACAGTTTGATTGTTTTGTTAGATCCAGAGGTGGCCAAAATGACTGATTCACTCCCTGTGCTTCTCCAGCAAGCAGCTTCTGCAAAAACCATCAGGTACTTCAAACAATGGATACATTCAAGACATACAGCATGGAAAATATTATATAAGACATGCTGATCTGTGTGTTTATTATGTACGATATATTGACATGATGTTACAGGATTCTGGCACAGAGAAGTGAGGAGATATCCAAAGAGCTGCTCTCTCTCAGAGTGATCCATCACTTACTGTATGCAATGGGGAACCAGGAACATGCAGATGCCCAGAGACAAGCCAGCCTGGCTTTGGAGGTACAATTAAATCTACCTTCTACCCACACTCACTCACTTATTCTTACATACGCTGATTCTGCATCAGCCATAAGTAAATGCAATACTGGGCAAGCAATAGACCAATGAGAATCTGATATTAATGTGTAATGTCTGTTTAGTATTTTGTGCGTATGTATCCAGTGGTGGAAGAGCATGTATGCAGAGCTATGGGCACCAGACTGTTTGAGTCTTTTATGGTAAGGTCTATATATATATATACATACATACTCTGGTGGAAAACAGGGAAAGAACATTTTTCAAACAGTGTGTAAGATGAAATTTTATCTTCTATGGTTATCGAAGAATGATTAAAAAAAAAAGTGGAGTGTGGAGGAAATTTTATTTTTATCTGAAATATTATTATTATTATCTGTATTATTTGCTTCACTGTACTAAAGAGTGTTCTTTAGACTGTCTCTGAGTGCTTCAGTTTGCCTCGATATACTTGAGTTTTTCATGAGCAGAGAGATAACAGGAAATCTAAGTGCAAGACAAGTGTGAGACAGAAAATGTCCTATAGCTTCTTAGAAAATAATTTGCATTTAATACTAGGGGGGGCATAGTTGGATACCTTAAATGGACACACATGTTGAATATGCATTATGATTGGATGAAATAGAAGCATCCGGATTTGATAAATGCTGAGTCAACATATTTCTCTGGGTTGCACTCTGCAGCCATGAATGTAATGACTGTATGACTGTCACCATTTCTTGCAGGATATGTATACTGTATACTACCATTAAAAAATTTTTGAACAGATTTTTAATGTTTTTTAAAGAATTCTCTTCTGCTCACCAAGCCTGCATTTATTTGATCCAAAATACAGCAAAAGCAGTAATATTGTGAAATATTTTTACTATTTAAAATAACTGCTTTATATTTGAATATATTTTAAAATGTAATTTATTCCTGTGATTTCAAAGCAGATTTTTTTAGCATCATTACTCCAGTCTTCAGTGTAACATGGTCCTTCAGAAATCATTCTAAAATTCTGATTTGCTGCTCAAAAAACATCAATAGTCAATACAAAGTTAAAGTTAACTTTAAAGTGTGTGTTTGTTTACAGCACAATGCTGATGTCCTACATTTGAACATGGATGACATTCAAGCTGACATTTTACACTCAAATAAAGTGAACATTTCATGTGGTGAGTTGACAAATCTAGAGAGACATAGCTAGGTAGTATGTTTTTGTCTTTATTTGAAAGACACCAGTGCTTCAATTGGCTATTGAAAATTATTGTATATTAGAATGCCCTTTCATTTTCCCTTTATTTTTCTACAGTGCTTGAGGAACATAATTCAGATTCTTGAACACAGCTTGAAACAACCTTTAAAATAAGTACTTGTTGTTGTTGTATTTTTTAAATGTATTTTCTTGTTGTTGATGGTGTTTTTATGCATAAAATAATAAAAGTGATCACAAAGAACAGTCTTCTATATTTCTTTGGTTCAATTCAATATGGGTGCACTAGAAATCTCAAGCATTAAATTACAAAATAGACTGTAATGTCTGTGCAATGTAAGCATTATAACAAAGTATGCAAATTATAGTATGTATATCTATCTATTTCTGTATCTAGATAGATAGATAGATAGATAGATAGATTTACACTTTACAGTTTACAGTTTACTCTTGACCACGCCACCATTGGCTACAAGTTTGTTTTGCTATTCGGCCCGAATCAGTTTTCTAAAGTGTTTTTGAAAAATCACATACCCTGCCTTTAAATATGTAGTGACAAGCCGTTCTAAAGTCAGCTATTGGTTCAAACACGCCCCGCCCTCCAGGAAGTGAAACAAGGCGGGAGCGGTACTGCTGCTGCATGTTGTGAAAAACACGTTCGTTTCTTGCTGTGAGCAGTATTACTGTAATCCACGTCGTTTTTAATTTTAATATATGATTTTTAACGCTCTGATGTTTCATTCGTTGTACTTTTTTTTTTATATAATAGCGACCATGTGCAGATAAGTTTGTACTTGATTTTAATGTAAAGTTTTAAGTGTCCCACAGGTTGTTTGTTAATTAGTTAAAGATTGGTTTAGCGCTATGAGCAGGTTAAGATCTGCAGTGCAGAAGAGGAAGAGAGCGGCTCTAGAAAACACAGAGATGATCAAATCCAGCAATAAGAAGAAATCCAAACCTGCCATTAAAGAAGGTGAGTGGTTCTCTGTGTGCAACTGAGATAACGTTTTACATCAAGGCAGCTGGATATTTGCCTTTAAAATTGTATGTTTGAGTTTGTATTGATTTCTTATTCTCACCAGAGGAACCATCTGAAACTGAACCTTCATCATACCACTTTTTCCATGACCCAACTGAAATTTCTCTTTTCCGCTCTCACCTTCTGCAGTGGTATGATCAGAATAAGAGAGAGCTTCCCTGGAGGACATTGGTAAAGGCATAGGATATTCTTATTTTTTGTCACGTGACCATGCTTTTTGTGCCCATCATATACAGCTGCCTGAGAGATGCTCATGAGAGAAGTGATCAGCTTTTCCATGCTAGTTTTTATACGTTAAAGCACATTTAATGCATTGCAGGAAGAAAATGTTTTATTGTAGACCTAAAAATATGTATATATGTATTGTCTATATAAAACCACATAAATTATTTAGTTAAAGATTAGCAGTAAAGTATTAAATTAAGCATTTTCCCCAAAATGTTGGCTGTGGGGTGAAATGTGTTGGATCATAGATGCTTGAGGGTTGCATTTTTGTTTTTGTGTTGTAATCCATACAGGCTATGACAGAACCAGATGTTAATAACAGGACATATGGAGGTATGAGAAAAGTGTTTTAATGTTATGATGATTATAACCTAAATCTTTTATTTTTATTTTATTTTTTTATTTTATAAATTTTTTCTCATGCCGTTCTCAGTGTGGGTCTCAGAGATCATGTTACAGCAGACTCAAGTTGCCACAGTGATAGACTACTATAACAGATGGATGAAGGTAGGCGAGCTGTCTGACTACTCCTCTCACAGTACCTCTGGAATGCCACATTTCATGCTGTTTCTGCGTATTTATTTTTAGAGATGGTCGACTGTGGAAAAACTTGCTGCAGCGACACTGGAGGTGATAGTTAAATCCATAGACATAAACAGACAGAGACATAGTGAGCATCTGACAGCGGTGCATTATTGTCTCCCTGCAGGAAGTGAACCAAATGTGGGCGGGTCTTGGATACTACTCTCGAGGACGCAGGCTGCATGAAGGTGCTCAGAAAGTAGGTTTAAACATAGTAATGCAGAAATTATATAAGATTTATCTAAATTCTGCATTACTTAAGATTTGCTTTAATATATTTATGTAATCTGCACATGTCTGCACAACATACATTTTTCTGATTCTTGCAATAGGTAGTATCGGAACTGGATGGACAGATGCCAAAGACCACAGCAGGACTACTGAAACAGCTGCCTGGGGTTGGACGTTACACTGCCGGGGCGATCAGTTCTATAGCACTTGGACAGGTAACTTTGTTTTGTTGATGAGACATTTAGCATTACATCACTTGCTCACCAATGGTTCCTCTACAGTGAATCAGTAAAAACATCACAATAATCCACAAGTGATTCACACAACTCCAGTCCATAAATTTGTGAAGGTAATTATCTTGTGAAGTGAAAAGCTGCATGTTTGTAAAAAACAAATCCATCATGAAGGCATTGTTAACTTCAAACTGTTGTCCATCCCGTTGTCCTCTCACATGTTAAACCATGTATTTGTTTAGAACTGTTTTGGACTGTTTTCTCTTGTAAACGGTGCTTTATTTGCACATTTTTCTCCTGATTCAGTCAAGATCTCTTTTTCACTGGAGAAAGCAATATTATGAATGGAGGACTCGTATTTTAGCTTGAAGCAACAGTTTGAAGTTAAAAGCATCTTAATGATGGATTTGTTTATTATAAGCACACAGTTCTTTTCTTCACAAGACATTAATTGATGGACAGGAGTCGTGTGGATTATTGTGATGTTTTTATCAGCTGTTTGAACTCTCTTTCTGACGGCACCCATTCACTGCAGAGGATCCATTGGTGAGTAACTTATGTAATGCTAAATAAAACAAACTCCTCTACATCTTTAATGGCCTGTCTTTGGGTGAACTACTCCTTTAATAGAATGAATTTTTCTTGTGTGATCCACTGATAACGTACCACAGATCAATTTGGGCAGCATTGCATTGTCGGGGTATTAAACACTGAATATTTAGCACTAAATGCTGTGTATTTATTTGTTGCAATTGTGTTTGTTGTTCTCCAAGTGACAGGTGCAGTTGATGGAAATGTCATTCGAGTTCTGTGTCGCGTTCGAGCCATAGGAGCAAACGGCACCAGTCCTGTTGTAACAGATGCTTTGTGGTACTGAAAGATCCATCAAGTTGATGTACTGTTAAGCAAATCTAGATTGAAGTTGTAAAATGTTTTTAATTGTGATTTATTGCCCTACTTCAGGACAATTTCTGACACACTTGTTGACCCAGAGAGACCCGGAGACTTTAATCAGGCTATGATGGAATTAGGGGCTAGAGTCTGCACCCCGAAATCCCCTCTGTGCAGCCAGTGTCCCGTTCAAAACCACTGTCATGCCTTTAGGAAGGTACTGCTGAGCAGCTCTTACCAAAATACTTCCTTGTAAAACTGTCATCAATATCAACTTTTGTCTTTCATACTGTAGGTGAGCATTAAACAAAAGACTGACTCCAAAAGACTTCTAGGTAAACTTGTTTCAAAACTCAACACGTCAGTGCCCGACATAGAGAATTGTTGTAAGTTGTAAAGTCTTCTGGTGAAAACAAAGTATTCTCTTTTTATTCATACATCAGATTCGACAGATCAAAAGCAGTGTCTAATGTACGTTCACATTCTGTGACAGTGGTTGCTAGCAGCTGTGACTTGTGTCTATCAGAGGACTGGGACCCTCAGCTAGGGGTGCAGAATTATCCAAGAAAGCCTGTTAAAAAGGCTCCACGTGTGGAGCAAACCCTAACTTGTATAGTGGAACGTCAGCGAGCTGGAGAAGAGATGGAGTATCTGCTCACTCAAAGACCAAGCAAAGGTGAAACAATTTTAACTGGGTGAATGAGAAAAAGAACAAGCTCTAGAAAATATCATGGAAAAAATATGATTTTGGATTACATGGATGTGTTGCAGGACTCTTAGCAGGGATGTGGGAGCTACCCAGCATGCTCTTGGAGGCTGACGTCTCTGAGAATAAATATAAAGACATGATATGTGACATGATGCAAAAACTGCTGGAAACATCCATAGACGCTCGTGCAGTGCAATTTGTGGGAGAGGTGGGTGTTTTCCCCAAATCGTATCATCTTGGGTTTAGAATAATCCACATTTACTCAATATTTCATTTGCATCTTCGGCGATGATGTGCACGTTTGGTTACAATGCTTGTGTATGATATTCATCCAAGTCTTTCATATTCTCTGTCAGGTGGTGCATATTTTCTCCCACATCCATCAAACCTATATGGTCTTTTCCGTGCATGGGTCTGACTGGTCAGAAGGAGAGCAAGAGCAGAAGACCTGCTGGCTCACTAAATCTGCTCTGCAGGGGGCGGCTGTATCCACTGGGGTTAAAAAGGTTGAGTGTGTGTTTTCATGGGTGTCACAGCAAAGCCAAACTAGCCAGTGTTGTAAACTAAAACTATTAAAAATTGTTTGTGTGTACAAAAAAAATCTTAAAAAGTGGAAAAAGAATGAAAGTGTTTTTGTCACTGAATACTTTCAATGTACCTTGTTCTGATAAAAATATAATAAATAAAAAAATCTTGTGTACAAGAAATGCATATTTTTAAAAAGACTTTTTTATACCATGTTGTTATTTTTGTTTACATGCATGTAATGATTTTGTATCTTTAATTACACAGATTATGAAGCTCTATGAATCTTCAGGCAAGGTGGACAGCAAGGTAAGTTTTCCTGAGTTAGTATGAGCTCCATATTTTGCACTTTGGTTTGGTGTTTTTGAATCATTTTCATTTTTCATATCTTATAGATATCAAAATTATGTTCTTGCCCTATCCTGACTCCTCACACTCTTTCAGGAAAAGAAGAGGAAACCCAGCCCTGAGAAACGGTCAAACAAAATAAAAAAGCTGAAGGGTGCTACTACTAATGAAGGACCCAAACAACTCTGCATCAGTAAATTCTTTTCTACATCTAAGACAACGGCCAAAAGCCATAACTGTTGACAAAAGCCTGTCTGTATATTAAGGTTTACGATTTTTGATATGGTCAATATGTAGCCATCATACAAATTTGCTATCATGTCAAGAAAGTCACATATAATAGCACATTACTTACAGCTTTAATGTTTTATTTTTAGAGGGATAGTTCTTCATGAGTTGTTTTCAAAATAAATAATAAATGTATGATAACCCTGATTTTTTTTTTTTTTTAAGTGCATTTAAAAAAAAAAATTTGGGATCCAGAATAAAAGAGTTATTTAAATAAATCTGACCTGATTTCATAACACATTTACACAATTATGTAAAAAAAAAAAAAAAAAATTCTCTGCTTTTTTTTATTTATTTATTTTTTTTTGCAGCATACTTTAAAATTAACAGCATTTAGCCAGCCAGATAATTTAAATTACATGGTCATATTCATTCGGCGCCCGGAATGCCCTTCCCTCTCTAATACTAGGGTGTCAAAATAAGAGTCAAGGTATATATTTTTAACAAACCTGGGATTATTTCTAATACAACACACGTGTGGATAAAAATTATTTATTGCTTCGAAACGTGAACGTAAATTTATCCTTTAGTCTGTTTGTTTAAATTTCAGATTAACGTGTGTTTTCTCGGTCGCAGTGGGACTTTTAACTGAAATGTGAGTCATGAAAACTGAAAACTAGGTGCAGTCCAAAGTTTTTCTTCCAAAAGATATGTGCACTACTGCATAACATATGCACTACTGCATAACCGCTGATAACACCCTATTTCCCATGTTACTCAAACAATTCAGAGTGAAGTTAAAAGTTCCTATCTGACCGTGCGATTGATTGAACTCTTCCACGCAAGTGCGATATATTTGTACTTTTCCTCAGGTAAGTTCCCCGGTAAATTTATGTTGATTGCAAACATTTGTGAAAATGAAATATTCCATACACGGATAATAAGGTAACTGCAGTCACATAATAAAAACATCTCATGCTTGTTAAATTTCTTGTCAATTTGGTGGACGCCTTTTCATTAAAATTAAGAATTAATTACAAGAACAGCCTGCATAGGGAGAAGGTATCAATCACTCAAGGACATGCTGCTAATCTTCCTTAACAAGGTGCAACTCTTCGCATTTTCAGTATATCAGATTTTATGAATTTAAGAACGCACAAACAAGGGATATATTATTCTACCATAGAAGGATACAAGCACACACACGCATATATATATAGAGAGAGAGTAATAACTTATTTTTACGTGTTTTTCTCTCCGTGTTTTCCTCTGAATGCTAGTCTAGTCTTTTTTTATTATAAAGCATAGTCCTCAATGGAATCAGCATGGCAGAGAGTGGAATCAATGCACCACTGGATTCTGGAGAATGGGGGTATGATCCCCCCTCCCCCCCATATTTTATAAGCATGATTTATTTTACACCTTGCATTTGACTACTATCTACATGGGGTAGTATTGGAATAATATCAGTAAATAAAAATTTGACATCATAAAATATAAATATAATAATGTGTAAAGTGCACAGTTATGCAAACTCCTTGTGTTTTCTGTCATGGTATTTCAGATAAGCGGACGGACCCATGGCTTCTAATCTACTCTCCTGTACCGATCATCTGTATATTTTTGTGCTATCTTGGTATTATTTGGATTGGACCCAAGCTTATGAAACACAAGGAACCAATGAACATAAAAGCATTGCTTATTGTGTACAACTTTGCCATGGTCGGTTTGTCCATTTACATGTTCCATGAGGTACATTATGTATTTCATACATGCATAACTCTAGTTCAGTCCAATATAGGTGCAAATTATTTCAAGGTTTTGCATTAAAATAACCTAGTCATCAAATCTCAAATCAATTTTTCTTTCCACAGTTCTTCGTTACATCTTGGCTGGCAAACTACAGTTTTCTGTGTCAACCTGTGGACTACAGCCCCAGCCCACTAGGAATGAGGGTGATTACATCTGTCACACTTTCTGTTTAGCTGCCTAGTGTTCTTCACTAATAATCAGTAATTCCTGTTTTCTAAATCATAATCAAATTACCTATACCTGTGATGTTATTATTTTTGCATTCCAATAAAGATGCATT